GAAACAAAATCAACAGTGTGGAATAGTTGTAGAGCGAGATCTCGACATCGTAACAGCGCAAGAGAGAGAGAAACAACTTTATTTAAGTGAAAAAAAAAAATCACACAGGAATGCTGATCAGGCCGTGCCTGGCCACCACCTCCTCAGCTCTAGAAACAGACTGTAAGCAGCGTCGTGGATCGTCTGATGACCTTCTCTCTCCTTTGTTTTTACAACGTCTCTTTTCTCTCATCCTTTATCCCCCTTACCCCCATCCCCAGTACAGGGTAACCAGCCGGTCTGAGAACTGGCTAACCTCCCTGTCCTTCCTCATTTATTCCTCCTCCTCCTCCTCAGCTCGCTGTATGGCTGGTACTTCTAGGCTGGTATCTCGGAGTACTCTTTCCCATGCCTCGGACGAGGTAGTGGTCAGGAGATCAGGTGGGGGTGGATCCTCGCTGCAGTCCCATAGTACATGAGAGAGGGAGGTGACGGAGCCAGATTTTGAGCAATGCGGACTGAACAGATCGGGGTGAATGTGTGCATATACCTGCGGGCACGGGAACGAGTTTGTTTGGAGGCAGCGCCATGGGATTTCTTGTGGTTTCGTCAGTTTGTGATGCGGCGGTGGTTTTGTTCGACGTGCGAGGCGATAGTGCTGAGCAATTTCGTGATAGAATATGAGGGGCTTGCCATAGTTCTCTGGGTTTGTGGTGGGGCCCACCGCTCGGTTTATGAATTCTCGAGCTTGTCGGTGGGCAGCCTCGTTCCCCGGGTTTCCTGCTAGCGCCGGGACCCAGATAAGAGATATGGGCGGCGGATCCTCGTCTTCGAAGTAGGCGAGGGACTCGAGGAGCTGTAAGGTACCGGGAGCGACGGTACCACGAGTGAAATGGCAGATAGCAGTTTTCGAGTCACTGAGGATCATAGCGAATCCGGAGGACACCGCGAGAGCTATGGCCGCTTCCTCGGCTTCAACGGGGCGGAGAGCGGACCGCATCCACGTAGGCCACATCGCGCCGCGAGGCATTGGTCGTCGTGTAAGGCTTGGTCTCGTGCTTGCCGTCTACCGCCAGTGGTTTCCTGCAAGCATGTTCTTTGGCAGTGGTTGGATGAGAAAACTTCGACGTAAAGTTAGAGGTATAGAGACCTGGTCTGCGCTTGATGGCGCGGCGGTGAGTCCTATGCGAGCGAGTATCCAGCGACCGGTCTTGCTACCGCGAAGTCTCGGAATCTGTGCTGTGCGATGCGCTTCCATCAGTTCGTCGACAGTGTTGTGGAGCTGTCGAGGCTGAGGAGATGCGGCGTAGAGGTCGTGCGAACTAGTCCAAGAGCCGTCTTGTACACTTTGCGTATAAGTTGGTCCAGTTTGTCCCTCTCGCATCCCAGTAGGCGCAGGTATGGTAGCACGTACGTGAGACGAGATATGACGAAGGTGTGGATAAGCTGGAGTAGCTCTTTTTCTTTGACGCCTTGCTTTCGAGCGGACATGCGAGCAATGAGGCGGGTTGTTTGAGTGACGGCAACGGTGAGGCGTTCCAGTGCGATGGTGTTCGGTTGATTTGATTGAATGAATATGCCTAAAATGCGCATCTGGCCAACTTGTGGTACGGTTACACCGCTGACATAGATTTAGATGGCTGGTTGGGGAGGGTACTTGTTCCGACGGTGGTCGGGAGAATGAAACAGCAAGAGTTCCGACTTGCTCTCCGAGCACGTGAGGCCCGCCTGCGTCGCGTGGCTAACGACGGCGTCAGCCGCACGTTGCAGGGTCTCCCCTATCTTGCCATCTGAACCCGTAGTCGTCCACAGCGTGACGTCGTCTGCATAGATGGTATGACGAATGCCCGGGATGCCATCGAGTGAAGAAGGCAGCGTGCGCATAGCAAGGTTAAAGAGAAATGGAGACAAAACCGCTCCTTTAGGGGTGCCTCTGTCTCCGAGTGTGCAGGTGTCTAGAGGCTGGAGCCACCGGCTAACGATATTTCAACGGTACGGTTAGATAGAAAGTCACACACGTAGTTATATGTACGTTCACCTGGGTCAATGGCGGCAAGGTTTGAGGCGATGGCTTCATGTTGCACCGAGTCAAATGCCTTATGAAGATCTAGACCGAGCACGGCGCGAGTGCCGGCCTTCAGTGGGGTACGAAGGAGGTCGTGGTGTATTTGCACTTGCACGTCTTGCATTGATAGGTGGGCGCGAAAGACGAGCATCGTAGGAGGGAGAAGGTCATTTCTTTCAGCGTAGGTCTGTAATCAGGGAAGGACGTGTTCTATTAGCCTGCCAATGCAAGATGTGAGCGATATGGGGCGTAGGTTGCCGATGTCCATCTCCTTGCCTAGTTTGGGGATAAATACGAGCCTCGCGTGTCTTCACTCTTGTGGTATGTGTCCCGAGCGCCAGCACTCGTTAGCGTACCGCGTGAGCGCAGCCACCGATTTCACGTCGAGATATTGGAGGGACTTGTTGCTTACGCCACCAGGACCAGGCGCCGACGTTGTGTGAAGTTTGAGCATTGCGGCGCAGGTCTATATTATCTTCCGTAATATCTCCGTAATATCTTCGTCCTGTCGGGGGTTCGGTTTGCCACTGTATGGGGGAAAGCGCTCCGGCGGCGCGTTTGGCTGGGCGAGGTTCACGCAACGACAAGCGAGCTCTTCGAGCAGCTTGGCGTCCATGCCAGGGTAACGATGTAGCAGCCGGGGAAGCTGCTTTTGCCCAGACGACTTGCACGCACAGGGATCGAGCAAGTGTCGTAGAAGGTGCCAGGTACTCTTGGAGCTCATCTGCTCAATGAGAATGTCACACAGCTGACCCCACTGCTGTCTCGCGAGGGCGAGGCTGTGGTTTTAATTTCGCGCTAGCGCTTCGATGCGGCGGCGTAATTTCTTGTTGTGACACTGCCGGCGCCACCTGCGCATGAGGCCAGCGTGTGCGTCCCACATGTGGAGGAGGCGAGAGTTTGTTGGCAAGTCGGTGGAGGTCTCCACTTCACGGGTTGTGACTTGCACGTGCTCTTGCAAGAAACCGATCCATTTATTGATGTCCGTATTGGTGTCGGCGGCTTGCTCTTCCCGCAACCGGCGGAATTTCTGCCAATCGGTAATGCGAGCTCTGGGTTTTGGCTTCTTGCTGAGGCGCGTTTTAATTGTTATGGCGAGGATGTTGTGGTCACTGCCCACTAAAAGGCTCGTGTTGTCCCAAGTAGCACGCGTAACGTTCTTGCACAGTGTTAGGTCCAGCGACGTGTCACGGCACACACTATTGCCCATGCGTGTGGGTGGCTGCTGCGGATTGTTAAGAAGGGTAAGGCGAAAGTCTTGTACTAACGACCATAGCTTTATTCTTTTCAAATCCGTATGCGTGTAGCCCCAATCGAGATGTCGTGCGTTAAAGTCACCGAGCAAGAGAAGCTGCGCGTCTCCGACGAGAGCGATCGTCTCAGTGAAGAGGCGAGAGTAGTCTGCCGCTTTCTCACGAGGTGAACTATATATACACATTATGGACGAAGAGCGACTTGCCTGTGCGCTTGCGTGGTAGAATCTCTACGATCGTATGCTGAATGCCCGTTGCTTCCGATTCGTGCTGTACAACTGTGAAGCTGTTGTGAACGAGCATGGATGTGCAGGGGGAAGCATGCGTATCAAGCTGATGGTAGGCCACGTAACCGGGGAGGGTGGAGAGGGTAGACGTCTCTTGCAATGCGATAACATCCGGGGCCGGTTCCGTCGCCTGCGGATCAGCTTGCAGTTTTTGTACGAGCTGCTGCTGGGAAATCTGTTTCTTAAAGTACCCCCTGCAGTTCCACAGCCATATGGTCAGTGTGGGACACGCCATGATTAAGCCATTGCAGGCTTGCGGCCTGCCTGCAGCGTGGAAGGTTGGCTGAACGTGGGGGGATGCTATAGCGCTCGAGCCGTGCATGGATTTCGGCGGTGGTGGACTTCGTGCAATTTTTAGAGCGTTCAGTGAATAATTGGTAGCCTTCGTATAAATTTTCAAGGCGTCCAGGGAAGTGTTCGTGTCCGCAATAGCTTGTTGTAGAGTGTTCAAACGGACGAAAATTTAACGTCTAGGGTCGCGAGAGCCGCAGATACTGCTTTAGAGACCGCCGTGGCAGCGATATCGGTTTCGGCATGAAGCGACACGGTGGTGTTTGCTTTGCGCTTACCCGCGGGCTGCGATTGCGGCTGTTATGGGGAAGAGACGGCCTCCGTCGGTTCCGACGTGGGCGCGGCTGGTTGCTCAGGGGTTTTGTCAAGCTTTGCTTCTAATGACTGGATGTATTGTGTGAGGTTTCCTATCTGGGACATTAGTTTAGAGAGCGGAGATTGCTGCGAGGAAAGTTGTGCCTTAAGTGAGGAGTTATCCCTGACAAACTCCCTCACCTGTGGATCCTGCGACGACGTCAGTGATGCTTTGAGCGACGCTGGGGGCCCTTGGGCCTAGTCAAGCTTCTTGGGACCAGGCACGGATGATGACTGTGACAATTCTTTGGAAGAACCAGTTCGATGCCCTGACTTACCAATGTTTGAAGTTTGAAAAAAAGCGCGTATAGAGAAAAACTGGCTCTGTTTTTTTTTGAAAAAGACGTCATTCCCCATGATTCCCATTTCATTCCGAGCAAAAGACGCCTCATTCCATTCCCATTACATTCCTACAATCGCTGTCCCCTGTAAAAATGTAAAATCATTTCAGAATTATTCGAATTTCGGAGTGGCAACTCGGCAACACTGGTTTGCTGTCATTGTGAACGAGGCTCCCGTGTAGGGAGGTAAAATGTATATTTTAATTTTTGCATATTTTACTTTGGTCGGCGTTTTCGCTATTTTGCACCATGTTTGTCCGACTCTAGACTATGGCTATACAACTTCGTGGTTTCGCCTGCGTTAAGGCAAGCTTACGACTACAGCAGTAAATCAGAGCGTACGACAACCCGGCTCCCTCAAGTTCTCCCTACTTAACACACTGCGCTAGCCAGGCCTTTCGACAAGGACGGACTGTATAATATACGGATATGAAAAAGGGATCGCTTGGTTTTATTAAAAACATGGAAGGCTTTTTTGTGTGTTCTTTCTTCGATTCAGTGCTTCACTTGTTGACTGATGATGTCTGCGCACTGCTTCGCGCCTTCGCCGTGGATGAAGCTCTCGTGAAGGCCATCGACCACCTTGAGCTCGACCTTGCCCTTCGCAGAACTGGAATGAACAGCGGAGAAGAACATAAAGAAAGAAAGTTGATGTGAATAATGTGGGCTCAACGCACTGGGTGAATAAATTAAAACACCGCATTATTTCGTTTCCCAGACGAAAGCTTCGTAGTGCCTGGCGGACCTTTATTTTTTTCGTAGGTCATGTAACGTACGGGAAAGCGCGCGACACATGGACACACACGCCTGGTCTCGAAACAGTTTTGGCAAAATGACCTAAAGGTCATAAAACATCAGTTCTGGCTGCAGTGCTGGATATTTAATTTTATAATTTTGACATATGTACTCTTACATGACACTGTCGTCATGTGGGGTTAATACAATTGTAGCTAAGCGTAATCTACTGAAGCTGGTTTATGTAGCATCGTCCAGGGCTACCATTTTGGCGAGCACGAACACTACATAATCAGCTTACCGCTTCTGGTGTTGCTAATACCCGTGTTGCTGTTGGCGTCGTTACATAACTGTAAACAGCTGGTTATATAAACAACTGGTTGTATCAAACATATGTGACTGTTCAGCAAGCCTGTACGTACAACATTCGTACTTATCTTTATAGTCATTCCGTTGTATCTTGCTGAATAAAAAAAGTGCACAATATTTATTTCCCTCTGCGTGCTTTGCATAGCATCGATTTCAATGCCAGGTGGGATCTGCTGAAGTTTTACTTTGTTAGACACAGTATTAATCAGACGTAACAGACTGATGTAAAAAAAGTATAATAAATGTTTTACAGTCGCTAATAATACCGTCCCGAAAACGTTTTTTATAATTGTCCATTAAATCTTCGCAAATAAAAGACAAGATGTGGCATGAACATTATGGTATGTATGTCATGTACCGCACCGCATACATGCCCCGCTTGAGATGTGCTCGTGGCCGGCTCTCTAGCGTGATATTGTTTGCAACGAAAGCAGTATCAGGCGCCGTGGCTGAATGGCGAAGACAAATTAGGGGAACGTAATCCGATTATCATGACATGCGATACAAGTACAGAATAGTTTACCTAGCGCGTTCACGGTGTGCTCGTGACTGGTTCGCTAGCTTGGTATACAGTGAAATCGATATTGCGTGGCGTGACTGGACGATGAACATAAATTACAGGTGGTAACACGACAATCATCACACGCAATACATGCGAATGTCGTGCAATCATTATGCAATACATGCACGGCATAATTTTACACGTTTCCCATACACGCAAAGCCACGAAAGCCCTCTTGCACTTCTTAAGGACCACCAGACTTCACGACCGCTTGTGAAAGAACAGTGCGACACCATGCTGTGCAGTCTCGAGCTGACTATTCATCTTTCTTACTCATCTTATTTTCTATCTCTTTCCGTTCTATTATTCTCTCTTCCCCCAACCCCAAGTGTAGGGTAGCCAACCAAGCCAAGCTTGGTTAACCTCCCTGCCTTTCCTCTCTATTTAACTCTCTCTCTCGCTCTCTTACATGCTACGCTTACGGTGCTTTCGCGGAAGTTGGCTATCTTGATATACACCAAGACTGGAATTGGGCAACATGACTGAATGACGAGCCTTATTGGCAGGTGGTAACGCGAAAATTGTCACACGCATGTAATGCACTGCATGACTTGCATGCTACGCTGATGGCGCACCCGTGGCCGGCTCCCGAGCTTGATTTGAGCCAAAATCGGTATTACGTGACGTGGCTGTGTGACGAACTAAACGACAATTTCCCAACTTGCAAAGTACGACACACCTGTCTTGTACGACATGACTTGCACCGTTGTGGCTGCTTCGTATTACGTCGGTTCGCACAGTGCCTGGGATCTTTCTTTGTCTTTTTTTTTAGTAAAGTTTCTAACACTGCTGTGGCTCTGTTGTAGAACACTAACGTACCGTGCAGAACAAGCGATTCCCATTCATGCCTGACAATTTTATAACTTGTTTATTACTAATCAACTCTAACTTTCTGACGAAAAAGACTGATTTTTCACTCACAACCAACGACGCCGACAGCGAAATTTCCGCGAAACAAGGTATTTAATGTTACGGCTGTAAAGCGCAGTGAAGCGCGGAAAGCTTGCGATGCCTGCGATTCCGAAGCCATTGCAAAATCACATTAAGGGCCAATACACAATAAGATCATGAAAATTGACTGTAAAATGACTGTCTCCTTCATGTTATCTCGTCTTACCAATACGAGAGGCGTTAATTTTATTTTTCACTTGACGATGGTTTAGAGCGGGTGATGACGTTCGAGCAGCTCCCATACATGAATACGCATCTCGTGCGATACGATAAAACGCTTCAATGCTCCATGAAAAACGGCTATAAGAACGAATGAAGAACTCAAGCACCCTGCACTAAGTTTGGGGTATAGTGCAGCGAGATAGAGGACCGGAACAACACTGCAAGTGGAATAGCACAAAGGCCGCCGTCTTATGCAGGATCACGTCGCGCTATGCACGATTTTAATTTTAAAGGCCTGCTCGTGCTCAGTTAAACAACAAAGGACATTAGCTACAACTAGCAAAGAGAAAACCGGGCGGGGCAATTGCCTGCAAACTTATGCAAGGCTAGATCCGCCGGCTACCAACAACTTCCTCGACCTCAACATCCTCCTCAACTGAAGCATCCCAGTAATTAGGACTTATGCAAATACCAGGTGTCCCGAAAGAGTTATACGGACCGTCCTTGCAAGATTGCACTTTGCAAGCAGGGTGGCAGCAGAATGTGTGCCATAGCGCTCACCTCGGACGTCCCGTAGTCTGGTGGCAACTGGCTCGTAATCTTTCGTGGCCTGGACGGCTTCACGATCAAGATGTCGCCGCGGAACTTCTGGCTGGGCTGGTAGGCGGAACCGGCCAGGAGGAACGAGTAGAAGGCGCGTGTGGCTGCGGCCACGTCCTGGCGGCTCGGCTGCACGTCGGGGTACGCCTTGAGGAGAATGTCGGTGGCCACCTCCTGCTTGGCGTCCCAGTTCGGGTACTGATTTATCCTGTTCCGCACCTTCGTGGCCGGAGCGGAACAAAAAAAAAAAGAAAATAAAAAAGAAAGAGATAGTTCAGAGAAATGCTGTGTGTGAAACACGTGCACCAACAGTTAGATGCATGCGTGTCTTTGAGCCTTATATGTCTCGAGATTCAACACGTTTTAGAGATTTGGTGACACCTGACGATGCACCCCGACGCCTTGTGATTGGCCTCAGCAGGAATGACGAAAAGAAAAGAGCTAAGTAATAAAACTAGCTTAACAGTTACGTGATACTAAAGAAATGGTTTGTGTATGTAGACTGCGTTACAAAGATCGCATGAACTTAATGTAACACGACGACAAAATGACGTCCCCCGTGTGATGTTAACAGACGTCACAGATCGTCAGAACTCACCACGTCATCAATAAGCGCGGCATGCAAGTACAACGGCGCCTGTGTCGTGTTCTTTCTTGGCCCTTGTCTCTGTTTAGCACTGTTGTTCTCACATAACGAATTCCCAGAAACTAGCCCAAGTATCATTTCTAGCATCATGAAGACGGTGCATGATGACGTCATCGCTTGACACCATCGCTTGGCCAAATGCATGTGGACCATAGAGGCTGTGTAAAAGCATGTAGATGTAGTAAAGAGCTGAGGGAGGACTCACATGAGAAAAGAAAAATGGCTTTCGACTTCCAGTCGTCCTAAGCAGTTTGTATGGACCCTTTCACTGTTTACAAACACAGGACCTTGATGACATTCAGCTTCGTCCTTCAATCGGTGAGCAAGGAGAGCGTTAGAAAATAGCTCGCTGACTTTCTGCACTTTTTTTTCCTTATTTGGCAAAATATATTCTAATAAATTTCATTTTGAGCTACATAAAAACTACAAGAAATCTTCTTGAGCATTACGCACGTTCGTATTATCTGAAAATTAATAAGAGACTTTTTTTACGCTTAAAACCAGTAAAACGTCCTCTCTGTTTCGACGTTGCGAGCTGGTAAACGAGATAACCGGAAGTTCTTCTGGGGCACGACGCTTGCAATCTTCAAACCGTCTATAAAAGATAGTGGGAGTTCTTATCCGTGCCGCCCGCTGTGCCAACGTTTTCACTGACAACTATGTAAAGAAAGCCTCTTGCTTGTGAACAAGAAACACGCGACCCAGATAGCATGCAGGTGGCACGGACACATGTTCTTTTGTTTTAGTCAGGGCGCTTCAACCTGCGGACGCATTAACCTGTTGCGTATGGTAGGTCGTTATGGGCCTCGCACCCAACGAAGTCACGCCTGTCTGCTTTTATCAGCAGATAAGCAATGGTAGACAGCCAAATTTTCTTCATAGCTTGAAACAGGTGTATACCGACGTTATACATGACGTTACACACAATGATACACATGACTTGCGTGAACATTGACACCACCGGCAATGATAGCGTACAAGCAATACCAGCACGATGGGAGTATGGTTTGTGACGTCACGAAAAGGGTATAGGTACATCGCATGCAGTTTGTGTCTCAAGGTAGTATCATGATTAATTTGTTTCCAATGGCTCACCTACTTTCTTGTACACTGTTCTGTAAGACGACATAAACTGCTAAGAACTTTTGAAGTCCTTTTTCGTCTGCCCTATCGCTGTCTTGTCTCATGACAGGAGGTGAAGGCTTCCGTTAGGAGGCACTTAAAAGAGTATTGACACAAAAGTTTTCAGTTGTTTTTTTTTTGCGCGAACTTGAAAGGTCAAGCCTTCGAGAGCCTAGAAAGTTTACTGGTAAGCGTCGGCAAGGCCTAGAATATTAACTAAGACATTTTTCAAAGGATAGTTAAGATTATTGCTGTTCCCTGATGTCGCGACATGGTATCAACTTTTCGTTCCGTGCTCGCGCAAAATATCGAGGCTCTTCCACGGCCGCTTCAACTTGTGGCACTGTCGGAGATGTGCAAGCAGCGATATTGCATGTTTCGGTAGGTGACGTCATCACAACTGGCCATACTCTGCATCATCATGTCTGAGGTCACCAGAATGGGCACTATAGCCTGGCTTCACGTTACTTTAGACGTCCGTTAGTGCATCACGCAAAAGTTGGCTTTAATATCAAATGATGTACCTTATCAGCATTTCTCGAGTATCACAGCACACTTGTTCGGAGAAATCTCTGTGCACAGGATACATGTAAGGCGAGGTGAAATCAGCTTCGAAAGTAGGTGTCTGTAGCCCTGCCGTGGTGGTCTAGTAACAATGGTACTCGGCTGCTGACCCACAGGTCGCGGGATCTAATCCCGGCTGCAGCTGCTGCATTTTCTATGGCGGCGAAAATGCTGTAGCCCCGTGTGCTCAGATTTGAGCGCATGTTAAATAACCCCAAATGGTCGAAATTTCTAGAGCCCTCCACTACGGCGTCTCGCATAATCATTGGCGGCTTTGGGACGTTAAACCCCAATTATCAATAATCAAAGTTGGTGTCAGTACCCCACTCTCTGCTGTTCGTTTTTGTCAAGGCTTACTGACGTGGCACGCACTGTACTTGTGTGATAGCAGCAAGATGGCAAGTTGGGCCAGTTGGATTACGTTCATAATTGAAAATTTTGTTGAAGCGCACTAAAAACGGATGGACAGAAGAGGCAAGCGCTGTCATTTTCAGCCTTTTTTGTCCGTCCCTTTTTAGTGCGCTTCAACAAAATTTTCAGTTATGACTTGTGTGATATGTCTCAACGTCATCAGGCTACAGGAGACACTAAAGTGAAACAAATAATTTACAATAGATGAGAAAATCAATCGCAAAGCTAGGCTTTCAAATTTTCTCCCTAAATCTCCGATATTGACGTCACTGATATCAAAGAGCTTTTCGTATTTTGGCCACGTAGGCTCGCGAACCTTCCTGATACTTGGTGTGTTGAGTCTCTGGCTACTAAAGATGGCTACTGCGCTTCCTTAGTGTGCTAAGTACTGGGCTATCAGACGCCATTGAAATCTATGACGTCACGGCCACTAGCGCGGAAACCGCAAGATGGCGTCGCCACCCGGAATTGGTTTTTGCAAGTTTTTTTTTTCGCGGCAAGCGTAGTGATCTTAAAACTGAAGAACAGCCACTAGAAAAATAGCTTTCTTCTTTATTGTTGCCCTTATATTGATGAGTTAATGAACGAAATTTACTTCATTCAGCATATCAACACTTAAACGACTTTTTGTGTCTAATCTCGGGAATATATCATTTATGCCACGATTCGTTTTTCTTGGCTGTATGCAGCTTTAGTACTTTGCAACTGTGTCTCAATATATTCCCTTAAATTTTCAGGCATTCTTTGCATATTAAGCGTTTCATTTTTTTTGTTCAGTTGCCTCTGTTTTTATTTTTATGCTTGTGAACTATTACTACCGGTGGTACCACTGCAGTCTCTGACTATGGGACCCACGTCTATACAATTTTCTGTTCCTCATTTCAATGTACACCAGAATAATGAAGTGACATTGATTGACTTTGACTGACGTCGACTTTGGCACACCCCATACCAGGCTTCCTATTGACGCTTAGCCTGCGGTCTCAGAGTGCGTACCAACCTCGACGTAGTCGATGTCCACGTACTGCATGAGGAAGGCGCAGAAGAGCGCGGACTCTTCTTCGTCCTTGCTGTCCGTGAAGCGCGACCTGTGTTGCGCTGTGTGCACGACCATGTAGAGAGGGGAGCCATCCAGCAAGGTCAGGCTGCCCACAGGTGCTCCCGACGCTTGCAACCGGAGGGCGATCTCGAAGGCCACCGTGCAACCGAACGAGTAGCCGACGATGTGGTAGGGACCCCTGGGCTGCACTTCGAGGAGTTTCTGCAGAGGCGGAAGAGAGACAGGCATTGGCGATCGCGAGTCGTTATTCACATAATTCAGGATACGGAACGAAGAGAATGCGCTGATCAGTGACTTCGGGAGCAGGGCTCTAGAGCTGGCTGTGCCAAGTTTTCTTGTGGAATCTACTGAAAGTACATTGAAGGTACACTGGCAGAATACCCACAATGCCTTAAATAAAAATGTTTGCAAAGTAGTAAAGCACCCTATATGTCATTATTCCAATGCCGATAAAATTACGCCATTATACCGCAAAGAAACGACATTACCCGCCAAAACCTTTGCCAGACATCAGGTGGACTTCGTTGATGCTGAGGCTAATGACAAATATTTATGACTAAGCCCTTTGTAAGGGGTGGTAAGCTTTAAACGACCCACTCGTTACACAGTTTCAACTGTCTGACGATTGGTTATTTCATTTTTCCACGACGTCTATGAAATCTGATAGCGTTAGTCCTGGCCCGACGTGACGCCTATACAGGATCTTTTTGCGGAGGACTTTTAACCTCAGGGTGGAGGAGAAGGGAAGGGGGGGGGGGGGGTCGGTAGAATACGCGATTGTCACGCAGCGGGCACGGGTTCAAATGCAGCTTTATAATGGATATTGTTTCCTCATTTCGGGTGGTGGCGCTCAACGGACACCGTCGGCCAAGAAGGGCAGCTACACCACGAAATTCGGCTTTGTTGTGATCTCATGATCTCAAAGCAGCTTTCGTTGTAACGAGAGCAACGCCACTTCTACGCGGTGAAAGCTATCGATTGTGGGAATCGCCCTTGCGCCACTTCCCGCTGCCGCTGGTGACGAGTTCTTGCTCGGGCGTACGACAAGTCTTGCCAATCTTCCGAAAGGTCCCGCCCGCTCTCATTCCCACAGCAGGTCGACCTCTTTCCCCCACGCCGCTCCTCCTCGCGCCAATCGCGGCCTCGCATTGGTGACCACCTCTTCGGTCACCGCCAACTAGAAATAATGCTTTCTCCTATAAACGCCTTTTTAAAACACTCTTAACACTCTTTTTAAAACACTACAAGTGCATTTGCAGGGTACCCAACTACGCCATAAATCATAATTATTTTTGAGTAGTGGGGTGGCATCTATTATTCCATTCTTCGCCATTTTTCGGAGAAGTGCGTAGCCACTATACACACTTGCAAGAAATTATGTGCATTTTGTTGATGTGTTGGTTGACGACGACAAAGAATAATGCCTGATGCTTTTTTTAAAGGGTCGGATCATTCGAACACCCACTCGTTACGTGATTCGCATTGTGTGGTGGCTGGTAGTTTCTTTGCTGTTCTAAAACGCTTGATTACACATATTAACGCCATACCCTACCCGACACGACGCCTACCTAGGGTCAGTTAGCAACGGAGTTTCAACCACCGGTGCAGCGCAGCGATGGAATTCTGGAGTGCCGCGTTTTGGAGTGCCAGGGTTCGAATCCTATTGTGTTTTCTACAGTTTAGCACGATAGTGTGGACCCCAGGCGCTGACGTATTTCTGTCACTGATATGACGTAAAATATATACTATAATACACTATAACGGAAAAAAAAGTTTCCCCGCAGGGTGTCGAGCCCGCAACCTCTCGCTGCGCAACGCACCGCACAAAACCACTGGACCATAAAGTGTACATTGTCCAGCTTGCTAACAGCAGGCTAATTATATACACGACATACGGTTTGGCTGTCCTCGGAGCTCCGCAACTTTGACGTGTTTTCACCATCACTAGCCAGATGGCGCTAAAGGTGTGCGTTGGCCGTGCTCGAAAGGTTGTCGCCCCTAACGTTTTGGATTGGGGCCTATAGCGTTACACGTACCTCCACGACCACGTACAGCGTTCCACGCACCTGCACGGGGCACGGTCTTGTGCGCATGCGCTTATCTCGTGACTCAGGAGAGCCCGAAGATCACTTCGCTCTCCTGAATCGCGCGATGGTGCCTCATGATAGACCATTGCAACTCTTTCATTTTCTCCGCCATCTTTGCTGCTTTGGTCGGGTTTCGCTAGGGGGAAGGAGATCTGGTAGCCCCCGAGATTAAGATATGTTTTGCGACTTTTCCACTAGGGTAAGAGCGCATGCTCCGGGGTGTCGTCAGGAAGGCAGATAAAAGGCAACACAGAACTGGAGCAAGTGAAATACGATGTTATCGAGATCGCTTTTTCGTGGTTGTTTCACTTTCGCTGCGCTGGATTCGTGTGTCAAGCAACTTTTGCAGGAACAAACGAAAGAAAGGAAATTTCAAGGCCTAGTTTTTGTTGGTTAAGGTCAAGTACAATGGGAACTATTCTTTAAGAATGTCAACGAAAGCGTATGAAACGTTATTTGAAATAATTGCACTGTAAATGTGAAGAAAGTAATGTAGCCAAAGAGATAACTTGCCGTGGGCAGGGAATGAACCTGTGACTTTCGAATAACGCGCCCCGTGTTGAACCAACTGGCTTATATACAGCGGTGGTCGTATCCCCCTACTCTTCATGGGGTATATATGTCTAACCTTGGCAGTGTTAGTCAGTGCCGCTTGTAGCCATGACGGCTAGTGTGAACCACTGGTTTTTCTACCTGCTGGCATCACGAAACATGCAATTTTTTTTTACGAGTTGGCAGCTGACAAATAATCTTTCAATACTACCTTAAAACCTCTTGGTCATGATGAGTTACCTTTAGGTAGTGGCTGGCGATGTCCTCGATGGAACTCAAGGAAACTTCGGGCGCCCTCTGCAATCCAACGGCTCGAACGGGGAGGTGAATGGCCAGTTCGTACAGTCCACTCACGTGTCCCTCGATGGGGTGAACGAAAAACACGGGCGAGTCTCCCTCGAGGCCGTTCATCTCAACCAGGACGCTGTGGGGGACCAGCTCCTTGATCAGGGTCAGCCGAGGAACTTCGGACACGTCACTGCTTTCTGATAATGACAAACCGGTACAGTGCTTTTCATATACAGCCCGAAGGCGACGCTGCAGGAAGGTTGCAGAAGTATGGCACTGGTATGGCGTCTTGAGTTGGGCTAGTGGATACGTACTGAGTTTGTAGGAAGAAACAGCATTCGAACAGGATGAAGACAAAAGGACACATACAATGCGCCTCGTTCGTGTTCTCTATAGTCTTTGTTTTGTTTTAGCGTGCACTGTTCGTTCCTTCCTAATAAGCACGGACAGTTGCAGTGCTGAAAATGACACTAATGTGAAAGAAATAAGAATGAATGTACGTCGATAAATTTCGCTATAAGAATGGTAGTAGCAATTTAATCATCATAACTTTTATAATAAAAAAGGAGATGAAGGTCTACGTTTTATTTTTAAATTTCATGCCGAAATATGCGTGTGTGTTGACACAGGCTTCAAAGTATCTTTTTCGTATTTTTGTGACATAGGCCGAAGTAAACTTCATGAAACTTGGTTAGCTAATTATCGCCTCTGATGACAATGTAGTACATTTTTTCCCCGACTAGGAATGACGCGGGCCCTAACAGATACCGTGAAACTTTATCTCATCATGCAAATTAATGCTAGAAATTTGGCGTCACCTTCCGCATTGTATTTTTCGCGTGTTTTTCGCTCACCAAGCGCCTCCTGGTGGCAAGAGAGGGAGTTTTCGTATTGTGAACTTATAATTATATAGTGATATGCCGAAAATTGGTTGTAACTTTAGTGATTCTTAAAGGCGAAACCATTAGATGGCTACTGATGAAGGTCCACAAAAAATGCAGGCTTATTAAGACACGTCACGTGGCCTGTCTCGTGGCTAGAGCGAAGCGAACTGTGCACTCACTTGGTATGTTCAGCGTCTGAGTGATTAAAAAATAATAATAAAGAAACCGCTGGCCGCGCTACAAATGAGAAGATTAGTACCATTCGCTGGCTTCTCTACAAGCAGTTCTGGGCTTCTGGCTAACGATACTTCTAGCGCGAGAACAGAACGACGACAAAGAGACAAGAAGGACACGAAATGTCTCTTTGTCATCGCTCCGTTCACGCGCTATAACTATCATCATGTCATACCAACTAGCCCAAGCTGCCACACTTCTGGCTAACATTCCGCGGGATCTACAAGCACAAAAATACCAAATACAGTGGACGTTAAGGTACTTTCCACTTTACCTAAAATAGCAGATCATAGGATACGCATTGCGAAGGCTGTGGGTTGGCATCCCGCCGACTGCAAGGGTGCTTCTTCGTCCGCTTTAATTCGCTCAATTTATGTTGAAAGTATTGCACTACGCCTAAATAAAGAGCAATTAGTGTCTATAACGCCTTCAGTAGCCTAACTCTCTGTGTCATTCACTTGATGACGTCCGTACACATTCTGAGATGTAGCGGAACTCATAGGATCCTCCTCTTCTTTCTTTTTCATCCGAACCTTCATTCGCCGGTGCAGGGTAACACATAAAAAGCGCTTCAGAATAATCTTCCTGCCTTCAATGTTCTCATGTATACGTTTACAGCCCCATTTCTCTACTCTTTTTTGACCTAAACGCGTCTTCCCCGGCAGGCAGTCAAACCTCTAACCTTGCACTCGGTATCGAACCGCCTCAATGCCCAAACGGAGCAGCTTTGAGGAGAACTTTGCTAAGGCACGTTGCCGGGCTAGTTGGTTGAGATTCATCTTTTTCACTGGTATAGCGCACCACGACAAGGACACACACAAAGGAGAGATGCACACACACACAGCGCTAACTTGCAACTAATGTTTTATTTGCGATCACACACGCTGTTTTATACAACAGTAGACCGATAAAACCTGGATAATGTCACGTCAAGAATACAGCACAGCCCATGCACGTGTCATCACCGATAGCGACAATCTACACTAGCCCGTCAAAGTGAAGATTCCAGATACTTCTTTTCTTTAGATGATAATGTTATGGAAGCCACACTCACACATTTTTCTTTCATTTTGTCTATTTCAAAAGCTTCAATAATTTCACGTGTGGTTCTGTCACGGGCCTTAAAGAGTATACGGGTTTTTTGGAACATAGGGACGCAACCGCACCTCTGACAGTGAAGGGCCAAATGACCACATACAGCTCTTTCTACATTGTACTTGTGCTCCTTTAGTCTTTCATTCACACACCTTCCAGATTGGCCTATGTATTCGCAACCGCAAGACAAAGGAGTGCTATAGACAACACCACAACAACAATTCACAAATTTCTCCCGCTGCTTAATCCTACAATCCTGTTTCCCGCTACTTTCTGCATTGACCTTTTTGCACATTCCTTGCAACTTTTAGGGAGCAGAAAACACTACATCCGCACCCGCCTTCCTTGATATCCTTCGCAAGTTATGCGGAATGGCATGCATGTAAGGTACTACAGCAACCTTGCCTGCCTTGGTGGCGGTTGCCTGGTCTTTGCCGTTTGCCCTTCCTTTCCTGCTTATACATTCGGCGACAGCGGTCAACAAGTGCAAGGGGTAGCCAGAGTTCAATAAACGTTTTGCTTGAGCCCACAAGCTCTCATCGAGCTTGTGGTGGCACGACTTCATCAGTGAATTCTGAAAACAGGATTTTATCACCGCACGCTTTACCAATTTCGAATGAGCGGACGTGAACGGAAGAACCGGTTTATTCCCTCGCGGTTCATAGCTCCAGCATACTCTTGCTGGCGAAAAATACAGCCCGAGGTCAAGGAATCTTATGAAATTGTCATTTGGTACTTCATGCGTCAGCACCAAGGGAGATAACACTGTCAAGAACATGGTTAGAGTTTCAGTGACAACTGCGTCAATGATTGTTATGATCATTATTGGCAACGATCAGATAGTCATCTACATATCTAAAAACAGCAATAACGTCAGTGTGCTTCATACGTTCTTCAAGGACCTTGTTACGGTTTGCTAAAAACAGGTCGCTCAGGTACGGGGCTATGCAGGAACCTATACATATCCCGTTCTTTTGTTTTACAGTGTTTCCTTTCCACGTCGCGTAGGTCGAGTTAAGATAAAAGTAAAGGAGCTCTAAAAACTGATCACTCGACAGACCGGCAGTATTTTGAAAATCAACTGCTCCTACTCTGTCTATACCTTCCGATACACACGCCATAAACTCTGCCTGAGGGAGGGTGTAATAAAGGTCCTTAACGTCCACGCTTTTATACGGGCAGAAATTGGCAGGTGGCCAAACTCTATACGCTACAGTGACGAGATCATTATGTTCAAGCACGTTAAAAAAAGGCTTAGCATACATATTCTGCGCAGACAACAAGAGAACGCTTCCCCACTCACCATCACTCTCCTTCGGCACGGCGGACACGTTTTCATGAGATTCCGCCTGGCTCCTAGCGGCCCCGCCGATTTCTCGCAACCTGTTGATGGTGAGCTGCCGAATCTCTTGCATCGAAAGGGAGAGGTCGTAGTCGCGCTCGATGGTCTGCTTCACCTCGACACCCATGAGAGAGTCCATGCCCAACTCACCCAGGCTCATGCTCGGGTTCAGGCTGGAGGGGTCTTTCACTCCTGCACGCGTGGAATGACAAAGCAAAAGGGCGTCCACGTAGGAAGAGCTTCACCTATTGCATATGCCAGTAAAAGCCCTAGAGTTTGACGTTTTTGACACAACAGCCTCATACTGATCATGAGGTGAAAAGTTTGACATCCAGCGTCCAGTGTCCATGGCCACGGCGCACATAGTACTCGCCATAAAGAGTCTTCTCGAAGGCGCCGGTGCCGGTAAAGAGTACGCAGGTAGCCGTTAGCAGGCGCCGAAATGGATGAGGGGTTAGTGGAAAGCTAATCAAATGTGTACGTTGTAGTCGGGCAGAACGGTTCGTGTCATCGACCACCAACATCGACCATGGTTCTGTGCCGTAGACCAAGAGAGAGAAACGAGAAGAAAGGAAGGCAGGGAGGTTAACCAGATGCTAGTACCCGGTGTGCTACCCTACACTGGGGTTGGGGAATAGGGGGTTGAAAGAGAAACGGAGAGTTAAAAAATAAATAAGAGAAAAACACCGACACACACGCACACACAAAATCAGTCCACTCAGAGGCGTTCCGACAGGCCAGTAGTTCGCAAGAAGCCCAGTAGCGCTTGCTCGGCTTTCTTCTGTGACGATGAGTCATGACGATGGCGCAGTATACTTTCTTCTGACAGCGGCTGGTCATCTAACCTGTTTAGTTTATTGGAAAGCTGTTGTCTTTCCAGGTTGTATTTCGGGCGGTCAGCCGTAGACCAAAGGCAACGATGTGTGTATACGTGTCCGTCTTTAATGCATCTGCGCTATAGGGCTTTGTCTTCAGTTGTTTAAAGGCAGTGTGAGAGACATAATAGAAATTCTGTCTTAAGCACAAGATTGTCGTATACCTATATATTGTTCTAGATGTTGTAGTTCTTAGGTGTACATCTTGGCTTAGCGAACATCACTGATGCGTTGTTAGCATCATTTGGCACCTTTCATAGATGGACGTAATAAAACTGAATCTTGGGAGTCTGGGAACAAGTGTTTCTGTTACATTCACTTCGAACTGCGCGAGTAGTGGGCTTAAGTCGCGTCGCATCCTACCTAGTCACATTTTTAAAGAGTTCTCAATGTCTCTACATTTCTTGGTTACCCACGACATACATGCAAAGTCCGTGACTGTTCCTTTTCAGCTTTATGCGCCTGTGAGCTATTGGTTGCTATGCCCCTTTGGTTACTAAGGACAGAGTTTGCGGAGGTTGTCGCTGCACTCACCAAGTATGTGCGCGATGGACTGGACGAGGTTTTGCGTGGCCTTGCCGTCGGCGTTCGTGGAGACGTCGGCCTTGACCAAGCTCGACACGACCGGATGACCCTGGCTGAGGAATCTGTCCATGACGGCCATGCACGAGCTTATCCTCTGGGGCAGGGTGCCGCCGACGACGACATCGGCGCCCATGGTGTCGTGGAGGACACCGACGTCGCCGATGGCGCCCCACTGGATGGCTAGGCCTAAATGAAACACATTCACACAGCGGGATAGGTATTGCAGCTGTGCATTTGAAGTGAAAGTTTCTTTTTGTGCAATACAGGCGACTACTTTTCTAAATGTGTCGCGCAATGCACCAATATAGTTTTGACGCTGATTCGATTTATGTTATAAATGTAAACATTTACACTGCAAGAGTGTCAAAGCAATGCTTTCCTTTTTTTGCGAGGTCATTAGGTCTGATAATTTGTTATATGCAAGTTCATTACACGTAAATTCGGCTGCTCTTAACGCTGGTCAGCGTTTTGCTTCTCGAATCAAGCTACTTACTTGTACAGCGAAATAGCATATACTATAAAGTTCGATCATTTGTGGGAAGTTAGTGCCACGTTTATATCCATAGGTTGTGGGTTCGACTCCAGCCGCGGCGGTCGCATTTAGATGGAGGCCTATTTACAGAGCCCCGCGTCCTGTGCGACATCAGTGCCCATTAAAAAAAGCAGATGGTGAAAATTTTCAGAGACCTCTACCATGGCGTCTTTCATTATCATACCTTGTTTTGAGACGTAAAACCACCAATAATACTAATAAACTAATCGCCACGTTTATAACATGACTACTTTGTGACTTCTATGAGCCACGGCATTTTGTCCCCTTACTGTCAAATTCTTCTTGCTTCTCGTCGCAAGCCACCAACGATGAGCCACAGTACATCGAAGATGTTGCAAAGCATAGTTGTGACGGTCCTGTTGTCCTGTTCGTATCACAGAAAGAGTACATTACAGCTAATAAGTGTAGTACGACCATTTGTCATGACCGAAACTTTTATCCTACATTACGCTTCTCTTGCACCATCATGCTACCATAAAGCAACATGTTGACGTCGCAGTCGTGCCATAAAAGAATGCAACACTGCCAAATGTACGAGCTAATACGTCAGCTCACCAGGTAGTCCATCAGCGACTCGTCGCTCGCAGATACGCTCCATGACAGAGTTGGCATAGCCGTAGTTGGTCTGGCCAGCGTTGCCCCTGCCGCAGGACACGGACGAGAAGGCGACAAAGTGGTCCAGCTCCGGACACATCTTCCGCGACAGCTCGTCGAGCCGCAGCGTGCCGTCTACCTTGGGCTGGCACACGGTCTTGAAGGCCTCGGCCGTCTGGTTCTCGAGCAGCGCGTCCCGCAGAACCTGCGCAGCACGAACAGATCATTCACCGGGATCCACACCGCGCACTGTTACAAGTAACTGGTCAGAGCCGCAAACTGGTAATATAGCAAACTCTCATTGAATGGCACCTGATGAAACTAAAAAAATATGTTCCGTCTAGCAGGAGTTTTCTTTGCTGACATGTGAACAGCTGTGCAGATTTCACGCATGAAACCAGTCGTGTTAGACGCAATTGGTTCATTCTGTGTAACTGCAGTCTGTGTAACGAATGATGTTTACTGTGAGTTTACTGATTACGCGAGTGTGCGTTTACACGAACTTGCCATTTTCGAACCGTGCGCCCCAAGTGAATCAAAGAGAAGTTAAATTTATATGGCAACAAAAGAAGTAAATGTGGGTGCAGTTGCCTGCAGCGATTTCACGTGTATTACATTTCGCTGGCTCTCTGCAAAGTGTAAACAAGAGCTACGACTGTCAGTAACCAGTTCAGAAAATGAGACCATTCATTTCCATTTAATTTCCACCATGATACCGTAAATATTCATAGAAAACTTACAGGGTCTCTTATGCATTCACTTAAGATGAGTGGAGGACGAAAGTCGTGTTTTTTTTCCCTCTAAGGTAATGTACTCATGCTGCCCCAACACCCTTCGAGAGCTTTTTGCACCTAGCATGGTTTGCAATGCCTCCAAGACTGGAAGCCCCTTACCTGGTTTTGCATTGCCTCCATGATCAGACAATTTTCGGTCAAGCTTTTATACGATTTGATCACGTCATCATGCTACATCACGTCCCGTGACGCCGTAGTGACGTCGTAGTGACGTAAGACATTTTATCAATCTGTAACGTCATCGTAGACGTCATCTCGTGATGATTTTTGGAATCACTACTCCCCAACGCCACTGGACGGTGACGGTCAAACAGCGGTTCTAGAGTCCTTTCAGGATTTCGCCTTAAAAATACGCCCTGCGACCACTAACCACGGCCAGGTTGAAGATACCGCCGATGGGTCCCAGCCTAGTGGCCTCCTCGATGATCTGTCTTGCTCCCTCCTCGGTCGAGGCGTCGGCTTTGCTGACCACCACTTTGCAGCCCGCTTGCTGCCACCGGTGGAGGCACAACTTCTGGTATCCCGTCCGGACGCCCGAACGTGCGCTCAGCACCAGCTTGCGAGATCCGCGGTGCACCATCCAGTCGGCGAGCTCCAGGCCGAAACCACCCAGGCCTCCGACGATCACGTACGACTTGTGTTCGTAGAAGGCGGTGCGCGCCACGGCCTCCACGGAGATGGGTGTGACGGGCGTGGCCCTGCGTGGTGTCTCTTCGGGTCGGATCTGTTCGCGTCAGAAAGGTGCAATCACATTCTTAGCAAGGAATCGTGTTCACATGCTTTCAGTTAATGCAAAGATTTCTCTCCCTTTCAGTTGAACTGCAGTAACAGTTCTACAAGTGATGTTTTTTCTGGCGCCTTCTCATGCGTAAAGTTTTCCTGTGACCCTTTTTCCCCTCCATCATTTCCCTGTAATGTTGTATGTAAGAGAATAGACGCTGGGTATCGATTTTTTTTCTTTATAAATAGCCTTTTCTCTCTCTTCTCGTTGTGCCCCGCCGCGGTGGTCTAGTGGCTAAGGTACTCGGCTGCTGACCCGCAGGGCGCGGGTTCGAATCCCGGCTGCGGCGGCTGCATTTCCGATGGAGGCGGAAATGTTGTAGGCCCGTGTGCTCAGATTTGGGTGCACGTTAAAGAACCCCAGGTGGTCTAAATTTCCGGAGCCCTCCACTACGGCGTCTCTCATAATCATATAGTGGTTTTGGGACGTTAAACCCCACATATCAATCTCTTCTCGTTGTGAATACTGGCACCGTCTTGATCTCATAATGTTAAGAAATAGAAAGAGAGATAAAGAGAGAGTGTGTGTGAGAAAGAGAGAAATGGATGAAGGAAAAGTAGGACAATCACTCTGGTACTAGTAATCAGTCTTATACCCTGGACAGCGATGGTAAACTAGGGGTCCTAAGGATTACAGAAATAGAGGATAAATAAAAAGAAAAGTTGGTTGATCCCTATGTAGTAAGAATTGGTACAAGACGTAAGTAAAAAGTATCTTAAGAGAAGTGTTTGTATGGTTACTGTACACTGATATAAGTAAGATTGCACAATGTCTATTGGTGTCTGGCAGCTTCAGTACCATTTAACACTGATGCACCCGTGTTGATGTTTGGTGGCACATCTACATGCCGACGACTAACGTCCATGATCAATTAATAAAATAACGCTTTTGGTAGCTGTAGTAGTTAACGATGAAAACATAACCATGGGAAGTGGTGTGATGACCAGAACAGCGTCTCTGATTGGATGCAGAGCTTGGGCTAACGCCATCGTCCCGTCGCATGTTAAAGGCTTAATGAGCATCGCGGCTGGACCAGGGAGACGAAACGCGCGTCGTATCCCTCCTGTTGCCCGGCCGCGATTCTTCTCAGGGTGAGCATAAATAGGGAACGTGGTGTTACAGCCAGACGAGGCAGGCGCACGTCGCAGAGTCATCTTTAATAAGGATGGATGTTTTAATTATAGCCGACGGTTGGGCTAAGATTGAAAACTCGCGATTTGTGGAAGGCGCTGACAAAATAAATTTCTATCGAAAACGTGCCGAATCGGACAGATGCGTAGCAACGACACACTGTACAAGCTATTTGTGGAGTCCATGGTCATGATGCATTACTTCAATTTACTGCTCCCAGAAGACGACATCATCACGTTGACCAAGAGCTCTCCGAGAGGAAAGTGTGATATAAAAAAAGGCACGATTGTGAAGCCTCCAGATTATATGGCGATGACGCAGTGGATATCGCGCTCAGCATCTGCTGAATTAAGTGCACTGAAACGTGCACAGAAAAAAAAGTAATAGTAGTAACAGCAGTAGTAGTAGTAGTATGTGGTGGTTCTTGGGCCCTCAGACGCAGAAACCCAAGACAAGGACAAGAGAAACATCTATTGACTTCACACACAAAACAATCACAACACTGTGGCTATCTGTACAACACACTGGCTCCGTACTTCAGTCGTACAGTCCTTATGTCTACGCGCCCGCGAGTAACCCACGCGTCCTCACTACTCGGAAGTCTAATTCCGTCGGGTGCCACTCACGCTCCCGCTGAAGACGACGGCGTCGACGACGCAACCTCGCCACGGGAAGGTTGCCAAGTGCACGGGAGCTCACGAGCAGACCATCAGCTGCTCGTGCTGGACCAGGCAGCCCCACGCTGCGGCCGACGCAACACCGAGGTCGCACCTTCAATTGGCGGTTGTGCCGGACCGGCTCCGACGTGGCACCGTGGCCACGATCTCGGTGACTGGTTGTGCCGGACCCGAGTCTGGACAGGATCAGCCGCTTGCCCTGGCCCGCACGCTCGTCCGCCACAGGAACAGCATGTCAGGCCCGGCCCGGAACCGCCACTCGCCTCAGGAACATGCCACGCTCGTCCCGGTTGGGTTGGTGACACCCGCTCGTTGGTTCGGTCCCCTGAGGCCCAACGCCTAGCGCTCTTGCTAGCTGGCCGCGTTCTTCCTCTGCCCGTCGCTGTTCCGAAGCTCACGCGCTCACCTTCGTCTGACCCCGTGCACACTTTCGTCTTCGTCGGTTATTTTCCGCTGTCGGTTTCACTTCCAGTTTCGATTTTGGTTGTGAGAAGCACTCTTACCACACTCCCCTCAACTTCCAGTACGTTGTACACACGTAACACGCAGTTCCCGAATATAACAAAGGTTCCGCACACTTTAAATGTCACAGTTTAGATGTAAAAAAAACCAATTGCACTATGATGACAACATGATAAAAAAATTGTGTACAACGGCAATAAGTCACTGCTCGGTAAAAGCCGCACGACTCATATAGTCGGCACCAACGTTGTCCACACCACGGATGTGTTCCACGTGAAAGTCATATTCCATAAGAAGGAGACTCCACCGCAGGACTCGATTATTTAGGTGCCTAGCTGACTGAATATAAGTCAATGGCTGGTGGTCACATTGCAACGTGAACGGCTTGCCATAGAGAAAAATGTGGTATTTGCGAACAGCCCAGACTACGGCAAGGCCTTCTCTTTCAATTGTGGAGTAGGCTGCTTCGCGGGGTAGTAATTTACGGCTCGCGTAGGAAACTGGGTGCAGACGGCCTTGGTGTTCCTGGAGCAATACTGCTCCTAAGCTCCGCGAAGACGCATCCGTGCGCACAACAAATGGCTTATGCAAGTCGGGTGACTTCAGCACAGGCTGCGTGGACAATAGATTCTGCACCTGTCGAAACGCTCTCTCATGTTCTTCACCCCATAATAACTTATTGGGGTGGCCTTTCTTTGTAAGTTCTGTGAGCGGAAATGTCAACTCAGCGTAATTGGGCAAAAAGTCGCGGTAATAACCTGATAGGCCGAGAAAGGCTTTCAATTCCTTCTTGGTGCTTGGCGGCACAGCTGCTTGTATCTTATCAGTAATGCTCTTACTCGTCTGCAGCATACCTTGCCCAACAGTGTGGCCCAAAAAAGTGGTAGTCGGACAGCCGACCGCACATTTCGCTGGTTTTATAGTTAGACGAGCCGCTCTGACGCGCTCAAACAATCTCTTTAGGGTTACCAAGTGTTCTTCCCAAGTTTCAGTAGCGACGAGCACATCGTCAAAGTAATATAGCACATTGGGAATCCCCTCGGTGACGACTCGCATTAACCGATTAAATACTGCCGGCGCAGTCTTGATGCCGAAGGACATAAAGTTGAAGTGGTACAAGCCAGATTCACATGAGAAAGCCGTGAGCTCTTTCGACTGACTGGCCATAGGTACCTGCCAGTATCCTTTAGTAAAATCAAAGCGCGAGAAGTAGTTGCATCCCGTAAGCTTAGCGAACATCGTATCTGTGCGAGGGATCGGCTCACAATCCGGAAGTATGACCTTGTTCAGTTGTCGGAAGTCAATACACAAACGCATGGTGCCATCTTTCTTCTTGACGACCACTATGGGCGAGTGATAGGCTGACGTTGACCTTTCAATGACACCTAACTGCAGCATGTCCTTCACATCCTCCTCGACGGCACCTTTGACAGTAAAAGGTAGCGGGTACTGTCGTACCTGTATGGGAGCCTCTGATGTAAGCTTCAACTCACAGTGAACAATGTCAGTCTTCCCAGGTACATCTGAGAAAACGTCTCTGAATTCTTTAAGAACCGCTGTGGCTTGCTGTCGTGCATCAGCGTTGAGCTCCGATGCTATGGTAACATTCGTCCAGTCCTGTGTCTGTTCTAATGTGATATGGGGCACTTCGTCGGACTGAACCTCGTCTGTGTCACTTGGCAACGCCGTGGTAACGCCTGCAACCGTTCGTTGGCTTAGTGGTTTGCGCTCCTCATACTTCTTTAACATGTTGATGTGAAAGAGCGTAACCTTGTGGCCCAGGTTTACTAGGTAATTCAGTTCGCTGCGTTTCTCAATAACAGGGAAGGGGCCCTTCCAGGAAAGCACCAGCTTGTTAGCATCGGCTGGTAACAACACCAGCACCTGGTCACCAGGGACAAGTTCGCGCTGTCTCGCTTTCTTATCGTAGTACCCTTTCTGCAGCTTCTTCGCCTTCATCAATTCTTCGTGTGCGAGCGCACAGGTTCGTTCTAAACGTTGCCGCAGCTCCATCATATGCGTGTATGTCGTCTTGGTCTCGTCATCGAGGCGAGGGTTCGTCCAGAGCTCCTTGAGAACAGCCATTGGCCCTCGCACTATCTCTAACGTCCTGGTAAGGTTTGTTGCATCGACAATAGCCTACGTTACAATCTTGATCTAAGTACCAATCTTATATTGGTGATGCCTAAGCACGGGCAGCATCATAAACATCAATGAAAATGATGGCTGTTGAGACTGCAAACATCTTAGCAGGGACTCGCTCTCTGGATGTCGGCCGACGGTTGTAGCCCGCGATCCTTCCGACGACAGCGCAGCCTCTGGCCGACTGGCTCGCCCTGACGCCTGTCTCCTGACGACGACAACAGCTCTCGGCCGGATGGTGCACCATCCCTCGGACTCTGCGACCGGGTACCATCTTGCCAATCCTCCTCTTTCCTTCCGTCGTTTTTGTCGTTCACGGCTACCTGCGCCTCAGCTTTCTCCTTATTCTATCTATTTACCTTTTCATCCTATCCTTTTAATCCCTCCTTACCGCCATCCGCCATCCCCCGTGAGCTACTGTTGAGGTGTCGCACTCTGATGCAGACAGTTACGGGGCTCACTTCTCTCTTCTTTTCTCTTTAAGAATCACTTAAAACAACCTAGCAGAAATTGTGGCCGAAAGCGATCGATTAGTGGGCGCTGTAAATCGCTGAATGGTTGCACTGATGCGTATAAAGCAGGTATACATGAACACGACTTAAGTAGGGCCGACCGTTTGGCGAGTTGTTTGGGATGCATTATAAAGAAAGCGTCACTAGTGTTCATGTGGTCAAAGTATTTTCGTTATGGTCTGTCGCACCGTTTTCTTAATAATTAGTTCACGCATTTCCCTACGATAGTCCCTTCCGCGAACGACTCAAAATACTCACCTCTGCCCTTCGTCTCGTAAAGTATGTGGTCCTCGAACGAGAGATCACGTGAGTTTGCGAAGTTGCGGTCCTGAAGCTGTGGGAAACGGCGTCTGAGGAATTCCCGTTTCTCCTTGGAACCTGAGGAATAGGATGAAGAAGGAACGTGCAAATTTGCCATGTCACCTATGTTAAGTCACGTGAAAATGGCGTACTGCGATGCAGGTTCATTTATTTATTGATTATATTTCAACATACTGCAGCCTCAAAGGGCTATCGCAGTAGTGGATGCAGAATAGAAAAGTTGCAATACAGCACATATGCACTAAAAATAAATATCAGTGGTTAGTAACGTACAATTACTCAAGTAGAAAAGACCTCACGTGGCCAGAGGACACATTCCCACTATTGAGTAGCGTGACCAACAATCATTTATACACATTACTTCGGCGATTAAAAGGCTGCACTGCTCAGGTCATGATGATGCCTGGTGTATATTTGTTTACAAGTGTGATGTATTTCTCAGTAAAAGACATTGTTAGCAGTGAGTGAGAGTGTAAACGAAGCTTCAGATATCCAACGTGATGAAGAAGGAGAGAGACTAAAACGCTGAAAACTGTGAAGTATAGATGGGTCGCTCAGGAGCGAGCCGGATCTTCTGATCTTCTCTTTCTAAAGAGTGATTGAGCTGTGGCTATAAGAGGGAAAAGAATAGAAAAGTGAGCCCCGTAACTGTCTGCATCAGGGTGTGACACCTCAATAGTAGCTCACAAGGGATTGGGGTGAGGAGGGATTAAAAGGATATAAGTAAAGGTATATATATATATATATATAGATGCGCTGGGACAGGGAGCGAGGACATATCGAGGAGATAGGAGAGATAGGAAAGATGCAAACAATGTCACAGGACGGGGCACCACTTGCGAGAGCTCTTGTCGGCGTCAGGAGATGGCGTAGGGCAAGTCCAGTAGGTCAGAGCTACTCTGTCATAGGAGATCGGCGTCAGGAGATGACGTAGGGCCAGCCCAGTCGGCCAGAGCTACGCTGACGTCGTAGATCGCGAGGGCACAACCGGTCGGCACGGAATACAGCGAGCGAGATCTGTTTGATACGCAGTTCAGCGAAGCGAGCGGCGGTTCTTCGGGGGACGGCTCACTGCGGAGCTAACTGAACCACCGCCGCCACCCGCTCTCCGCCTGATCCGTCTGGACGGCTCATTGGAGCCGACGGCTCACCGGTTCAACTAGAGCCAATGAGCGAACTGAGTGACTGTTCTCTCTCGCTCACTCAAAGCGGCGGTTTTCTGGGCTCTCACTCTCTCAGTGATCCATCCGATCCACATCGCACTGATCCAAAAACCGCTCCGTTGGGACTCGCTCGCTGGATTCCGTGCCGACCGGTTGTGCCCTCGTGATTTCCGACTACAGCACAGCTCTGGCCGACTGGGTTGGTCCTACGCCACCTTCTGCCGTCGGTCCCCTACGACGACGACAGCGCAGCTCTGGCCGACTGGATTAGCCCTACGCCATCTCCTGTCGCCGACGAGAGCTCTCACCAGTGGTGCCCCGTCCTCGGACTCATGTGACCATGTTTCATCTTTCCTATCTTCTCTTTACTTCCGTCATTGCTCGCTGTCCCTGCGTATTTCTCTCTTTAGTCCTACTCTTTTAATTCCTCCTTACCCCCATCCCTTGTGAGCTACTACTGTTGAGGTGTCGCACAAGATACAGACAGTTACGGGGCTCACTTTTCTCTTCTTTTACCTTTTTATAACCACAACCAAACCGCTCCGTTTGATTTGCGTTCCGCGAATCTTCGTTCGTGTTCTGCGAGGCGCTGGCTGTAGTCTGAGCTGGAGTAACTGTATATGCTACCTTTACGGACCACATACAATGACTCCAGTCTCAGCGTGGCTTTCACGTCATCTGTAGGCAATGAAAGAAAACAACTGCAGACATGTTTTGTTGGTGTTGCGAACTTTCGGCCACCTAGCTGGCTTCGAAATCCGTTAAGACGTTCCGCTCTGGCATTCGCCAAGCGTGCGCTATAAAGCGATCTCCGCTCGTGCGTTTCATGGTGCTCGCTTGCTGTGTACTTGTGCGCCGTGATGTTTCACGACTCGCGCTGTTCGTGAAATCGTGTTTTGTTGCTCAAATATTTCTGGAACATAGCCGGGAGATGGCGCTGACCTCCAAAAGAACGGCAGGTGAGCGTGCCCTTTGAGTCGTAGTTTTCATTCTCTCAAATTCAATTTACGTTCATACCGACTGACATGTTTTTCCGTTTTTTTTTTCAGTAGGGATATAGTCAATATTTTCAAAAGTGACTGATTTTAAAAGCGCGCTATGCTGTGTGTACATCGTTGTACGAACAACCAGTGGGCAAAGCACATGCGACGTAACTATATTTATAAATTTAGAATTGTCATAGAGCCGCGTGGTTGAATGTGTGCTTTCAATTTGTGTCGGGCTAATCACTCGTCATCGCTTATAAAGGTGTTCCTAAGGCTCTAAGTTTGGTTTATGAAATGACGTACTGCCATGTGACGAAGAAAGAACTTCGCTTATGCACGAGTCGCCGGCGCTCTTTATCTCATTGAATGTTGTCACTTTTCTTCAGGATGGAAACGTTCTTAAGCTATTCCGGAAGGCCACAGTTGATCGGCACGCACAGAGAACAGCTGAATCTCAAGGACATATGGCATGCACCTTTTGATATTATGTGTTCCTTTTGTCTGTGTTTTTTTTTCATATCACTAGCTATACCAAAATCTTCGTTATTTGGAAATATAGTCGAATATTGCGTTTATGTTTTTAGAAAAAGTTTATTTACAGCATGTACAGAACACAAAGGCTTCATACCATTCCAGTAACAGGGCACATACACTTCGGCACATCTATATTTCACGACTAACATCACTACGTTACAGTGAAGACATTTGCTCTAATATACATGATTATGTTGGCATATATGTACACAAAAATTCAATGTGATTCAATGTTTATGTTGAGTTTGGTTTGACATATTTAAATCTTTACGTTATCATCCTATTCTTAGGTATTTCAACTGCTTTCATTGTTTTAGTATGCTGTGAAGGTTCCCGTTTATTCTCATAATAATGACATACAAGCCGAATTTCGTGTCATATATTGTGCGTAATCATGAGATCTGCAATTTTCTCAGTTTGAAAACTTTGTCTTTTATATGAGCACAAGTGCTGTGTTCTGTTTTTTATAACGTTGTCTTGTAAGTTCGTAACCTTGCTGCGAACTTTCGTCTTCAGTGAAATTTGACATGTGGGTGATTCCACGAGAGATCGACACGGGTCCAAAAGTTGATATTTTAGATTTAATTGAGTGTTTTATATTTCGTCATCCTCTCACCAGGTTACCCGAAAGTCAACTTCGTTTTATTATTGACGGCATAACTTACGAGAAAAAAAATATCAAACTTCCCCAACACGGAGGCACCAATTTCGTTAGCTGTCATTTTCGAAAATTGCAGATGCTATAAAAAGAACAATATTTTTGTTTCAAGAAATATATTTTTTACCTAAATTTATGTTTAATGAAGAATGAATTCATTCTGGTTTTAAGTTTGCAGACCTTAAGAAAATAGCTTTTAAAAATGTCTAATTTTGCGACAGTTTAATATAAGTTACGTATTCCCCATTTTTTTCTCCGAAAGTAATGCAAGCAGCGTTTTCAAATTCGACACGTTTTAGGGATATAGTGTGTTGATTAAGTACATAAATTATTGCTGCCGTAGGGCAAATGTAAATTTTCATATATTGCCTCAAAGTTCTCATATTGGCAATAATGTACTCCACTGAAATTTGAATAATAATAAAAAAACCATCTTCGATTTTTCTTAAAATCTCGTAAATAGACAAACGAAGGCCCCCATACAGTATTATAGAAACAGATGTTGCATTATTTTGTTTTTAGCGACAATATTCGTGGTACAAATCAGAGCTTTTCGAGAATGCGCTGATAAGTTGAGAAATCTAGAAATCGGAACGGAAAAGCGGCAATGAGCTTCAAAAGCGAGTAAACGTGACCACATTTGGTGAAGAAAGGCTGTTTTAGCAGATAGGAGTAACTATTTTGAACACGATATTCTACAGTATCTGAATTCACTCTAATACGTAGAGCACTGAGACTTCTAATATGTGATGCCTCTCCATTACTGACACACAGATGGAGTTGCTGTGACGGCCATCTGTTTGCAACACGTTGGGTAAGAAAATTGAATGTTGAATGAGTTAATAAACGATTCATAAGAAATTTTTATCATTTGGGGCACGAAGACTGCCACATTAGACTGAAGAACACGCTTTAGGGTAAGTTGTCATCCGTCGTCTGCTCTACAAATGAATTGCTGTGCGCCGCATCTCGGAGGCAATGCTTTAGATCATATAGTTCAAAGTAGGGACAAAGATTACGCCTCCCGTAATTTTATCGACAAAAACATTGTGAAATTCATTTTGACGTACAATACTTCAGTTTTGCATTCGCACTGTGGATACTTGTGCACACTGTTTTGCGTCTGCTCTCATTAAAGGTGAGAGACATAGGAACAGACGACAGATAGATCACTTTCGTGCTGCTGGTTTCACGCATAGTTGCATTGCCAGTAATTTGAGCCTCAAGGAGCGTGGCGATGGCTGACCGCTTCAGCCGGGATAGAGTTCTTTGTTCAGATTACCTCATGTTGCATAAAAAGAAAATACCTTATCAAAGAAACTTCCGCAAGGTCGAAGACATCGGCCTGCTTGCCCTCCAGAAGCTTTTGCCGAAAGCTGCCCGCCATGCACATAACAACGACCACGTCTGCCAGAACTGCTTCAGACGCCTCAGAGATATGCTGTCTTCGTCTAATGGCTTCTCAGCTAAAACAGCTGATGCGTTTTTGCCGGAAGAAGAAAAAGGCAGAAGTCAAGAGCGGTGCGTAAACACGCCTGAAGCATTGTCACATATGCGACTGGAGAAGCTGCATGCGCAAAATAGCAAAGTTCATGCAGAGCCAAGACAACTTAGCAGCAATTCTACAGTAACCGTGAAATGCCACCGTAACGTGTGTAACCGCCACTTTCAACCATCAGATCTAAAATGCAGTGTGTGTGCCCAGTGGTTCAAGAA